ACAGAATTACTTAGAAATGACAAAATTAATTTTATGAAGTCAAGGAAATGATGCACAAAATTAGAGAATATAATGACATCTCTACTATACTCCCAAATAATGCTGAGTTTGTAACAAAAATTTTTCAATTTTCAACATACGAATATGGGCCACCAGACACAAGACATCAGAGTGAATACAGCTCTCTGAGACAGAACTTAACCAATACATACAAATGTTATATATTTATACCTACACCTAGGATTCCATTTCTAAAGAGATACGTGAATAAGTGAGCAAAGATCAGTCAGTCACAACCACGTTCATCACATTACATAAAACAAAAAGACCATGTGTAGTGTTCAAAAGATGTCCTTAAGAGACTCTTATTTTTGTTCATTGGGCTGTATGTTAAAATGTGAACATTTATGGTTTCACTGTATGCACCACTGCCTGTAAAAATTCCTTTTGTCCATTATCTCACACATCTTATTTATTTCACTTTGATCTTTCTGTGTTAAAAAAAAAAAAAAAAGGATTGTGTTGTTTTGTTTTTGAAAATATTTATTTTGGGGATAGAAAGCATGAGTAGGGGAGGTGCAGACAGAGAAGGGGACACAGGATCCGAAGTAGGCTTGGCGCTGACAACTAAGAGCCCACTGCAAGGGTCGAACTCAAGGATGGTGAGATCATGACCTGGGCCAAAGTCGGACGCTCAACTGACTGAGTCACCCAGGCACCCCAAAAAAGTTTTTAAAACCTAACATAAGTTCTGCTTATAGGTATAATTACTAAATTTACTCTTTTTAGTAGTGTAGAAAAATATTTCATTGGTATAAAGACTAAAAGGAAACAAATTAGTGATCAACCATTAATGCTCAATCTGGAGGTTCTTACATGTAGAGTTTCTTCTCCTCACTCTGCTCTAAACTAATCCATCACTGGTTTAGCTGTAATACTGATAATTGTCCATAGTATGTTTTATAGAAGTCAGTGAGTCCTGTGAAATCCTACCATTTGGAAAGGACCTCTGATTATGTTTCATGAACATCTCTTCAGATTTTCCTTTCTGCTAGATATATATAATTTTACACAGAATAATTCACCTGTCCATGCTTTCTTCAGACATCCTTTATCATTCAATACAAAATGGCACCATTTCAGATGTATGCATGCACCATAATTTTTAACCATACTTATTGGTGGACATTCAAGGTTTCTATGTTTTCTGAAATGAAACAGAATGATTAACATAATTGTGACTGGGGCACCTGGGTGGCTCAGTCAGTCAAGCATCCTACTCCTGGTTTCGAC